TTCAAGGTTCGTTGCTTGTGATCGTAATTATGATTGACGGCAGCGATAAACACAATTGTGAAGGTGGCTTTTGAACTTTAGAGTTCGCATGTTTGTGAAAAGCGCAGTAAATTCTCCGTGCAGTCAGTGAGGCCCCTGGATCAGGCGGGATCAACAGGCAGTTAACTGTCTGTTTTAGTATACTTCTGGTTTTCATACAATACAATATTTCTGTCTAGTGTAAATCAGCTCAGTCTGTCGCATTTTATGCTTGTAGAAGGACAACAATTATTGGAATTTCCGGTTACGTCAAATTAGTCACGTTATACTGTCACGCTATATTTTGGGGCACAGAGGGATTGGTGGAGGGGTGCGTGGAAATAATGCAAATTGTTTCCTGCTTACAATTAATGGCTAACTTGTTTATTTTTATTCATAATGGTGGAATTTAAAAGTTATTATACAACCCCCACTTAAAAATGGTACTCTTTTTTTTTGGTTACGAAAGTCTTTCAAAAGGGTACAATGTTCTGAATGAGTTTATGTTTCAGTCTCACATGAGATTCTGTTGCATGCAATGGTTGCCGACTAGGTTTTATGGTAGCCTGAGTGTGTATAGCCGCCCCCTCCCCTCAGAAAAAATAGCCCCTTTAATTTGCAGCCCAGTTAAAAATCGCCTTTCGGCGATTCTTGTTTCTTAAACAATGAGGCTGTACAGTTAACATTCTCAAGGCACTCAGATGATGTGTCTCCTTGTAAGTAGGAATCATCAATATAGCCTAGGCTTAGATATCCTAGGTTGTGTAGTGTGGTGTAAACTGGTTTTAGAAGTTTAGTAAATACTCGCGGTGCACAGCTGAGACCATTAGGTAGGCAAGTATACTGATAAAGGCTACCATCAAATATAAATTTGACGTTTTTCTTGTGATCTGTAGAAATGGGCACTGTACAGTATGCATCCTTGCGATCAGTAGATGCTATGAAGCATCCAGGTGTCATCATATTTATTGCCGTTTCTAAGGTGTCCATTTTAAAATGATGGTATTGCACACATTCATTGAAAGCCCGCAAATTAAGTATCATCCGGTAAGTGCCATCAGGCTTAGGTCAGAGAAATATAGGAGATATAAATTCTCCTGGTTCTTGACATGAGGGTTTTATGACCCCTTTATTGGGAAAGGTTTCAATTTCCTTGGCCACAATAGCCTGTTGTACATGATTAAACACGCTTGACCGTACACTGTCTTGTTCTGGGCTAAACACTGGAGTGAACTCTATTCTCACTCCTTTGACAAATTCTAATATTGTGGGGTCTGAGGTTATATTGCCCCATTCAGACAATGCATTGACAATTTGACCAGCTTTAAAATTTGGTTGATAATTTTTGTGAAATAAAGCGTGTAGAGTGTTATCATTGTCATCAACAAGTGTTTGTTTTGCACATACCTTCGTTGATGTGATCAAGTTTGTTTTGGTTCCCCCTCCTTTTTGTACTTTGATCGTGGAGGGCGGCCTTTGGATAAAAAACATTCCTCGGCCGCTGGTATGGCTGGAAACGACGATTTCCTTGAGGGTCCTGATTGCGTTAAGAGCTCATGCTGAATTTCCTGTTGGGTCCTCGCACATGTTGTGGCCTTACTTTCCTTGCCAGTTTGTTGGCATCGGAGATATCCTTAGTTAGTTTGGATAAGTCTCCAAATAAATAATACTCTGAGGTAGGAGAGACTGTAGTGTTAATGCAGAGGGCCAAGTAGTCGTGATGTAGATCTTTCTTCATCGCTTGGCACCTCGACGAATTCATATCGTGAAAACATTGCATAGCTAAAGTTATGGCATCTGTCAAAGTTGACATAATCTCTTTGTTCTGCGCGGTGGCATCTGCATCTTCGCTTTCGAGTGCCAAAGTGGTTGCTTTTATCATGGCGACAATTGAGGCAATGAGAGCATTCTGTTACTTTTGCGATTTCAAGTCACTGGTGCAAGCTTGAGGGGGTTTTTGGTTCCATATAAGCGGGTTTACCCGCAGTGTTCGCAAACCCTCGACACTGCCAGGCCATGGATATTTGTCAATTGGCGTTTGGACTTTGTCCTCTTGGAGTTTATCCTTGAGGAGACCGTTCAGGAGCTTTACAAGCCCTTCATCCACATCATTCCCCGTTTTTTCCTCGATGTTGAGGTCCTGTACTATTTCGGCAAGCAGTTTGCTGCCGACTTTCATCTCATTCATCACTGATTTGAACATGACAGCGAAATTTTGTGCCTCTGAACAGCTTGGCGGACCCTCACCCGGGCCGCTTGTATCTTTCTCTACCATGTTATTTTGTGGCCTCCTACTAAGTTGGAGCACTGGTACTGGTTTTGCTAACCTACCAACTACGTTGGTGTGATATTCTGTTTTCTATGGCCCAATAGTTTTCCCAACGGTATTGAGAAATAGGGCCAATCCTGTGAAAAAGCTCAGGCGGTCAGCGAGAGACACCAGTCGCGTTGCAAGCACATGTGCAATGAGTCGCACTTGCGCTGTGCTATCTCATGAGATCTCCTAGCCACGGGTCATGTGATAGAATTATGGATCAAGGGTCGGTTAAGGATCAGATCGTGGTGATGTGGGCCACAGACTGTGGATAAATTTCAGAGAACATAACCCCGTTCACTGTACTGAACACTAAATTTTAGTTAAATACTTTGAGTCTGACTGAGTCAGTGATTGTTTTGATGAGAAACTGAAATTTTCCTGGAAAATGAAACTCTTTATCCCAGTGATACTGTGATAAAATGCATGCTGTGTACAGCTCTAAACATTGTACTCTGAGACTGTACGGAGATATTAAAAGCAGATACTAAGCGGGTATGGAAAATATAATTATTACTTTCACGCAATTTTGATATCTTATAAAACGGACAACAAATTCAGCAGGAATACTTGTGAACTGAATTAACTGTCTGTTGTATAAGGTTCAGAGCACTCATCTGAGCACTTACTTTATGACAAATACTTGAAATGTGATTGTCAAATTTTAACTCATTATTTATCAAGGACAACCCCAAGAAGACAAGTCTTTTCTGTGGTTTTAATGTCAATATCAGCTAATTTAAAGTTCAGTTTGTCTTCCCTTTTGCCAAGTACCAGATGGTGAGTGACTGATCGCAGAGAACACTCTCTCACAATTTTTCTCTGCTATTTTACAGCGTCGCTTCCTAGCTTTTGCTTTATTTTCTTTCACTCTTCTTTTTTTTGAGACGAATGTTTCTTTGCAAAAGGATACATTCTCTTGTGTTTTTCTTTTTGGGCCTCTGCCCTCATCAAAGTCTGGTCTATGTTACTTTGCAATTCTGCAATCATTCTCAAGCATTTTTCATTGAAGCGTTGCCCACACTGTTGCCCACTCATGATTTTCCCAGACTTTTTAGTGAACCACTGGGTATTCTCTTTCTGGATACTACTCTTTAGCTTCTCAGATTTCTCTTTCAAATCCTGAAGTTTTTTAATCTTGTGATTAATTGCTTGGCAGTCAGTAGGCCTTAAGGGTTCCTCTTTTGAATTGTGACTAAAGTGGTAAGCCAATGTTCCCTAATGTACCTATCCACATCAGCGTTACTGGTTTTGGTAAGGGGGTTGGTTTTTTCTGTTTTTTCTAGTTTTTTCTGTGCCACTCCACGGGTAGGCCACCCCAATTTTGTCAAATATTTCGGGGGTGGGCCACTGAAAACCACTAGTACTTAAAAAAAAAAATTTCATAGCCCCCCCGCCCCCCCCCCTGTACTTTATGACCAGTCCCTAAGAGCATTCTTGATAGTAGATTTTGACTCTACAATTTATGAGTGAGTGGTTTTTTTTTTAACTTATTTACTTACCCAACAGACAACAGTAGATTCTTTTGGTGGTGCAGTGTGGTGTCTGTCAGTTAATCATGAAAGATCTCATCTAGCTGTAAGTTCTTGCTACATCTAAATAAAGTGTATTCACATACATGGCTTTGCTAGTATGACCTAGAGTCTTTCCTTAAATTATTGATTAAAAAAATCATAAATGAATAAAATGGTTGCACCTAGTCAAGGTTACTGAATATAATTAGGTGCAAAGTCTGCCCTCAGAAAGAATCATTTTACCAGTCCTCAAATCTGTGGTCAGAGAAATTCCCCCTACTTCCTTGACGGAAATATCAGGAGAGGAACTTCTTTCGCAGAACACAAAGGCCCAAAGACCACTTCATTTATGATACTCTGAGTGTGTATAAAATGCGAGCCAGCGAGTCATGCGAGCCATGCAGTCCATTCAAGAATCATTGAAAAAAACACCATAAGAATCGAAAACAGTAATATGGAAAACATTAACTGAACGCTAACCGTTGTAAATAAGTGTTTAACCTTAAACAGCTCTTAACCCTAATCAGTACAATGAGTGCCACTGTGAGTGCTTAACCCTCCTCATCTGTAAATTTGCAGTTGTTGCTTGTGTTTCCTTTTTTTTTACCGATGCCTCCCGTGACTCGAATGGCTCACTTGCTTGCAGTTTGTCAAGACCCTGATACTCTTCATGACACTATTATGACCAAATGGGAAAGTAGCCTCATCACCTACATGTTTTGCAAAGAGAAGGAACATGAAAGACTTTATATGAAGCATTTAGACCTATAAATTGCCATCTGTCGTGTGGCACTTAAAGGATGGTGACAAACAAATGGATCATTATTTTGGATGGTAGCCTGACCCAAAGTGTCTAAAACACATGTGACTTACGTGTTCTCTTTCCACCTATAGGTGGGGTGTGAGGATGGCACTGTGAGGTTATTTCAGATCACAAATGATGGTTTAACTTACAGGAAGTCCCTTGACCAGCAACAAGGTATACATGTACCAAGTGTCGACAAGTGGGTTTTGTTTTGATCATTCAGTTTTTTCTTCATATTTTTTCAGTGTTTATCTTATTTTAACATGAAATTGTTATTTTGGGTACTTTGATTGGATGATTTAACAATTCAGTATACATGTAAAAAGTGTTTGACCTTAGCTATTACAAAAGATGCCAAATTTACTAAGACCTGCTCGACAAAGACACTAGAAGAATTCTTTAATAAAAATATCTTGCACAGTGTGAATAAGCCTCCAGGGCAAATAACAAATTATTGACTGAATGTGATCGATTGATTGACTGAATAAATTTGAAAGTGCAAACTTACATGACAGTTCAGTATTGCGCATCAATGCTAGAGCCAAATCTGCAAAATGAGCAAGTCTCAAAACCTAAAAGAAAAAGAACTGAGTTGAGCAACAGAAAACATTCCCTAGTTTAGAAATAATAATATGCCTTAACACCTTCATGTAAATTTGGTGTTTTATTGACTGTGTAGGTAGAGTCCTGTGCCTCAGTTGGCATCAGAGCGACCAGAGTATGGTGACTGGATCATCTGATAGTACAGTTAGAGTCTACAATATTGGCTCTGGTAAAAAAAGACCTTTAAATTACAATGTATAACTAATGAGATGCTATTGTTTAAAAACCAACTACATGTAAAAGACATAGTTTATCACGATTTTTTTTGTTACATGAAATCTCTACTTAATTTGGTTGGCTGCAAGATCATAAGCATGGCCAATTGGTTAGTTTGTGTAGGACATTCACTTTGTAAGACATACGCATACACACATGGAAGTCCTTTACAGTGAACATTATTTACCATTCAAGTGTTGTTAGCTGCTCACCAATCACATCAATGTCATAGTTTAAAGAATTTTTTAAGACTGCCTAAACAATGGTAAAAAAAACCCCCAGAAATTTCAGGGACAATCTCTTCTTTGTTGTTGGTGATAAGGCGCATGCACCAGTTAAAGAAAGTACATACCACACAGTTATTAACAACTGCGTTGCTAAGTGGAGGTTTGGTGCCTGTGATACCTAGGAGCTTCCACTATTGGCAGCCAGCTCCTAGATGGAGACCGCTCCCTGAGCCCCCGCGCGGCAGGGAAGAAAGCAGGCACCCGTCACACTGAGGACATCAGTGGAAAGGGGGAGGGGGGGGCGGAAACCGCTCAAAAATTGAGTCACAATGTTTGTGATACACCCACGCTCAATAAAGCGCATAAAAGTTGCCGCACACACCAAAATGGCTGGGACCAGTTGTTCAAAAGGTGGATAATGCTATCCACTAGATAAATCTCTACCCAGTGCATAACGCAATTGGTTTCCCTTACACTTTTCGACTGGATAGTGATTTATGCGATGGATAGCACTATCTAGCTTTTGAACAACCGGGGCCTGATCGCTAAATGCACTGGACCATGCTAAGATGCATAAAGCTCCTGCAGCATGATGGATCTTGGTACATGCACATCTCTCACACACCACTGGCCAGGAGGGTGAAACAAGCGTTTCTTGTTGTTAACTCCATTGAATTGCATTTAACTGCATTTAACAACTGTGTTGCTATAGGTAAGTGGAGGCTGGGTGCCTGTGATACCCAGGAGCCTCCACTATTGGCACCCAGCTACTGGATGGAAACTGCTCCTAGCCATGAGCCTCCACGCCAAGCCAGAGGACCTCCAGGCCAAACTTGAAAGACCTGGAGAACAAGGGGCTCGTGGCTGGGGGAAAATCTGAGCCCCAACAAGAATGCCCAAATCCAACGGCACCCAACCAAGTTTCATAAAGGGGTATATAACTGCCATACCTGCCAAGTGAGTCATCCAGCCACTGAGAGAATCGTGTCTGCTGGAGTCTGCACATACAGCGAATAAGTTTTGCTTGACCAGCGACCCATAGTTTTATTAAGATGGTCAGGAATTCCTCGGCTGGCAGCAGTAGTAGCAGCCCCAACTGGAAAGCTATGACCAGAGAAATTTCCAGGAACACCTGCTGACTGTAGTGTAGATTTTAAGAAGGCAGAGAGCTTCGATCTAGAAGGAGGAGTGCTATCTTGATAAAGAAATAGAGGTCCAGGGCTCAGTCCATGAAGGTGAGGGTAATTTACCAAGGAAACCACAGGGCATAGAGGGGTGGAACCATGACCAAGAAGGACGAAGCAGCCCTTTCGCAGGGTCTGTCTTGGAGCACTTGATAAACAAGCACACACCTTTAGGTTTCAAAGGGGCATCAACCTGTATGTCATCAAGAGTCAAATGCAGAGAAGGATCAAAAACGTTGCCAGGATTTGCGAGATCCAGAGACCTCTGTAGAACAGACATGAGATCTACTGTCACCAGCTGGTGCTGGGTCAAGTTGGAACCCTGGTGGAGTTTAATCTCATGAAGGAGATGCTGGAGTTGAAGACAATAGGGAGTGGGTCAGAGAAGCCGTAGTCAATAAATATGTAAGGGGCGAACTGCTGATTAATAGACTTTGATGGATGAATGATGAAGGCGATCCACTAGGTGCGTACAGAAGCACATCAACATTTGTTTGCTGGCGGGCAGGGGAGGCCGACTCCCAGTGGGTCAAGTTGGAACCCTGGTGGAGTTTAATCCCACAAAGGAGATGCTGGAGTTGAAGACAATCAATGAGGGAGTGGGTCAGAGAAGCCGTAGTCAATAAATATGTAAGGAGCGAACTGCTGATAAATAGACTTTGATGGATAAATGATGAAGGCGATCCACTAAGTGGGTACAGAAGCGCATCAACATTTGTTTGCCGGCGGGCAGGGGAGGCCCACTCCGACTGTCTGAAAAATACGTCCTGGTTCCAAAATTCCCAAAACTGGTGCTGGGCAGAGGCATGAACCTGTCGAGTGAACCTGAGTGGAAAAGTACTTATTTGTGTATTTTTTTCTCTCTCAGTCTGAATATATCAGGACATGTCAATGGGAAACTATTTTTTGGTTCCGTTATTTAAAGATCATGGTAACAACACAGTACCGGAAACGAACGTCACCATGAAATCCTAGGGCTTGTTTTCCCATCAAACCACAGGATACTGGGCTAGCAGTGATGGAGGTACTGGATTTGCAACAGGGGCAGCCTGAGGTGTAGGAAGACGAAAGCGCTGAAAATCAAAACAAGATAACGAGTCAGCAATGGAATTTCCCTCCCGCTATATGACAGGCAGAAAAATAAGGGCTGCATGACAAGCTGTTACTAGCGACAGGTGGCGAAAAAGAACCATCATGTTAGGATCCTTGGAGGTGCCCAAGTGCAAGACACTGACCACAGCCATGACGAAACTCAACACGTTTTGAGACCCAGAGATGGCCCCACAGTGGCCTGCGGCCCACAAATGAGCGGCCACCTCCATTGGGAATAATAATTAACAATTATTCCTCGAGCCCGAATGGGCTCCAAGTCTACAGCCCATGAGGCCGAAGGCCGAATGGACTATTGACTCAGAGGCCATAAGGGCGAGAGGAATAATTATTTTAGTAAAATCCAACTAGTTGATCAAAAATATTGAGAATAAAAAAATTTTAGCTAGTTAGAGCTAGACTTTAATCCTTTTTTGCGGCCGCAAAAGCCCGCACTTTTCGTTACTAGTGGGCTATAACATATAGCCAAGTAGTAGCTCAACCAATCAGAATGCAGCATTGATACCACTAGTTGGATTTTACTAATTCCTTTTATGCAATAGACAAAGGTTGTTGAGCAGAGCATTCACCAACAAACCACCGGCCATTAAAAATGGCCCCATAACCTTGTACACCAGCAGCATCTGAGGAGATGTGAAAGTCAGGAAGAGGTGCCCACTGCATTAAAAGTAGAAATCTGAAACCATCCCAGGAATGGAAAAATTCTCTCCACCAGGTAAGGTCAAAACGAAACTTATGGTTCAGCCTGATCGGGTGGTCATCCCGCCGAAAGGCAAATTAATCATTTGACGCAAAAATGTCCAGCCTGGTGGAGCCACTTTACAAGCATGTTGGAGATAGTCCATTAGATATTCCAGTTCCTTTCTCATGCAGTGCTGTTTGGAAGACCTGCAGGTGTCCAAAAGAGCAGCAGTACAATCAAACTTCTCCTGAGGGAGGCTAGCTCATAGGCCATCAAGTCCAACGCGATGCCCAGGACAGTCAGGCACGTAGAAGGGCCCTCAAGCTTACCAGGGTGGAGGAAAAAATAACCCACTCTGAAAACAGACAAACACAGATATCCAGGTTTTGTTGGCAGACAGGAGAGTCAGGAGGGCCCAAGGTATGGAAGTCATCCAAGTAATGAAATAGAAATTGTACTTCATAATTGTGTTTTAGAATCCACTCAAGCAGGTCAGCAAAGGAAGAGAATATGAAAGGAGCAAAACGTAAACTGAAGGGTAGGGCCAAATCGATGAAGTATTCCCACCGCCATTTCATGCCTAATAGGTAACAGTCATGAGAATGGACAGGAATGATATGATATGCACTTTCTACAGCAAATTTAGCCAAACGAGTTTCCCGACCATGGGTCATGATGCTTTCAATGATATTGTCAACCTTCATGTACTGAACTAAAAACGGGTCTTTGGGAATACCCTCCTTGACACCATGACCTTGGGAACTAGAGAAGTACAAAATAAGCCGCTATTTGCCGGGCTGGTATTTCTTTGCAATTATTTCAAAGTGACTGATGTGAAGGTTTGGTAAAGGAGAGATTGAGAAGGGACCAGCAATGCAACCTTTCTCAAGTTCTGTGCAGAGATACTGGTCAATTACCGAAGGCTGAAGAAATTCCGTACGCATGTTTTGACTTGCCAGTTTTAAGGAGACAGACTCTGGGTTGAAGCCAAGACGAAAACCAGAGCCAGAAATTACATGTACATAGTCCACCAACGCTTGATTGGGGTGAAGGCATAACTCATGCTGAAGTTTGTGGGCATCGATTGGGGTAACCCTGGATGGAGGGACCAGTTCTTGACGCACCGACTGAGGGAAGGAGGACAACTTGAAGCCAGGAGAAAAGGCTGTCATTAACTGGCACTGGGCAGGTAATACTTCAAATGAAAGAGCAGCATTCACTGACATTGGCAACAAATCATTTGAGGCCTGAACTGAATGTGACGTATTTACACTATGTACAGACGTGAACTGACACATGGCAGGTAAATCAGTAATGAAAGAGAAGCGTTATCAGAAACGGTGAACAAACTGTCTTCAGATAGAAGAGGACATAATGTATTTAAACTATGTACAAGGTCCTTTTGACAAGTGCCACTGTGATGGATGGTCACCATGTTAACGCCGTTGGTGCTTACTCCAAGTTGGGGTAGCCGAGTGGGAGCACTGAATATAATAATAATAATAATAATAATAATTATAATAATAGGTTTTTATGGTGCATTTAAAGAATTCTCAATGTGCTTACAATAGTAAATAGAGCGGTTTTCATTTGAGTGTCGAAAAGTAATTGGTTTTGCACTTTCTACACGATGCGATTGGCTTAAAAGATTCGCGCCACCTTTTCATCCAATCAGAAGTAAAACCAAAGCCAATTGTGACGAATAATGTATTTAAACTATGTACAAGGTCCTTTTGACAAGTGCCACTGTGATGGATGGTCACCATGTTAACGCCGTTGGTGCTTACTCCAAGTTGGGGTAGCCGAGTGGGAGCACTGACTATAATAATAATAATAATAATAATTATAATAATAGGTTTTTATGGTGCATTTAAAGAATTCTCAATGTGCTTACAATAGTAAATAAAGTCTAAATGAGACTATGTACAGTAATTATGCGTCAAATGTTGCTTAAAACTAGAAACAGATTCAGAGTTTTTGATATGATTTGGTAGACTGTTACAGATTTTCGGTGCATAATATGAAAATGAGCAGTGTCCATAAGTCACCTTATTAACAGAAGGAATTTGGAAAGGCAATCTATTAGATGAGCGGGGAAAATGAGCCAGCTAGTATTTGAGAAGGAGTGAAGGTAAATAGTAAGGAGCTAAATCGTTTAAAATTTTAAATGTGTAAAGCAGTGTTTTAAAATCGGTACGTCAATGGCCAATAGGAAGCGAGTGCAAGTCTTTCATGACAGGAGTTATATGGTCAGATCTTCTTGTTCCTGAAACCAAGCGTGCGGCACAGTTCTGAACACGTTGTGGCTTGTCTATTTCCATTTGGTAAGCCACAGTATAAACTGTTACAATAATCCAAGCATGACTTAACAAAAGCATTGATCATTATCTTAAGGTGATCCTTACTCAGATACTTCCTCAATCTGCTAATGAATCAAATCACTAGCATAGCCTATTTGAATGTTTCATTAACATGATGACTAAGATTGAGCTCTCTATCTAGTTTGACACCATGATTACAAACGCGATCTAAAGACCTCTGTTTTATTAGGATTGCACACTAACTAATTGATGGTGTTCCATTCTATAACTTCACTAATACACTTCTGAAGGGTGTTGAGGGCAGGGCATTGATCAAGAGGGTCAATAGTTATGTAGAGTTGATAGTCATCTGCGTAGAACATACAATCTAGGTTATGAGCAGAGATCATGTTTTGAATAGGTGCTGTATGAAGGGTAAACAAGAGGGGGCCAATCATCAAACCTTGCGGAACTCCAAATTCTAATCTCTGACTGCTAGATGTTGTGTTACCAATAGTAACAGATTGTATCCGACCAGTAAGATAAGACGAAAACCATCCTAGCACTGTGTGGGAAAAACTGAAGTATATGTGACCTGGATGCCTAAAAAGGACGTTAATGTCGGGGTGGTCACCTTCACACTCCTCACAGCAGTGACGGTAGTGGCACTGACCAAAGGGCCAACAGCAGGAACCATCATTCCATGAATGGCAGAGATTGGACGACATGGCAGAGGAACAAAAGGGCTGTGGTGAGACATTTGCGTAGGAGCCAGACTGAATGGTTGAAGTGTGAGTATGAAAATTGTAAAGATCCAGATTCATGTGGGACCAATCTGTCAGACCAGATACTGCTGCATCCCTACAAAAGGCAATGTCATAGTGAAGCCAGGCTTTCCCAGGGAATTGGCGTGGGGTCTTGATAATTAACAGCTTTTATTAAGTGAGGTCTTGCCATCTGGAAGGGTGTCCGCTGTAAAAGATCTAAGAGAATATGTTGAAAGTCTCAACCCAAGTAATGATGTTAGTGTTGGCACTGCAAAAATAGTAGAATTACCTGGGATGGAGACCCTAAAAGGGGCAAAGATGAACCATGCCTGTCAGAAATAGCCAGTGGTCTGTTCGTGGCACCGCCAGTGCCACACAAAGACGGTTCCCCCACAACAGAAGGGTTGCAAATAAAAGAAGGTACGCTGAGGATGTTACCTGAGGAATGGCTGGGACGAGAGGACATATGAGACAAAGTTGAAAGGGTATTAGAAGACGTTGACGCCGGTGTAACATTTCCCGCCAACAGAGATGCTGCCGAAGCTGATGCGGTCATAGTAGAATGTTTCTCTATCACCAAGAGAATTCGCGGTAAAGACTCACCTAATGCTTGAGACAGGATAAAGGAAGACAAGGATGTCGCTGTAGCAGAACGAGGCGAAGAACTAGTGTTGGAAGGTGTTGAAACCAAAGGATCCCCATGTGATTCCAACATGGCAACTACACTGTTTTTGTTGGAGTTGCTCATTTGCCTTTCACCCATGGAAATTACTCAAAAAACCACTGAGAAGCACAAGTCACAATGTTTGTGGTACTCCAACACTAAATAAAGGACGCTAAAAATTGCCAAACACACCAAAATGGCTGAACGCTAAATGCACTAAACCATGTTAAGATGCACACAGGTTCCAGAGCATGAAGAATCTTGGTACAGTGTGCATCTTGCCAAACCGCTGGACAGCAGGGTGAAACTAGCGCTCCTTGTTGTTAACTCCGTTGAATTGCATTTAACTGCATTTAAAAATAAATTTAACAATGGAAGGAATGAGAGCCCCCCTGCGCAGTTGGTGTATGTCTTATCCAGGAATTTGCCTGCTGTTTTTGATGTCACGTACATTTAAATTTGTGTGTGGAAGCTTCCTTTCCAATAATTCATAGACTGTTAGCGTGGGTATCCATGGTCAAATTTTAAGGTCCCTTGCCAGCTCTACATGACTCTCAGTTTATTTTATTTAACTAGGGCAATGCAGTTTAAGGATTACACTGGATGAAGTTCAGTCCAGAAGCACTCTTATATGGGCTGTATACATAACAAGGTACAACTTTATTTTGCTCTTTTAAAGTGAGTGGTAACAAAGCAAAGTGCTAAAAACAAGTAAGTTAATTAAACCAGGTGAAAGGAGTTTTTTACTGTTAACGGTTACTCTTTCTCCTGACTTTTTTATGTTTTAAAGCTTCTAGTTGTGATGTTGGTGTCTTAAGGTATAACACAAACCGAACCGTGTGCTAGTCATAATTTTAAAGGCCGATTGCCAACCTTGATGCAATTTAGTCAATTATTTTTGTTTTGAAATCGACTTTTTGTAAATGGCATGCTCTGATATTTATTGGTCAACACTTCTGCCAGCCTTTCTCAGAAAAAAGACAAAAATAATGGTCAGCTGTGGTCGCATTAGCGTTGTTTTTTTCCTTAGCACAGTTTGCCTGCAAAGCCAGTAAATAAGTAAGTTGTTTTTCATGGAAGTCAATGAGTCCATTGACATTTCAGGTTTACATGAAAGAAATGCATGTATGGCTCCGTCACTGCTGAGGGAGGAGCGCGATTCTGAAGATGCCGAGCGAATGACAAAATATACACGTTCATTCAAGTGTATTACATAGAGAATACTTCATGGAAAGTGCTGGCGTACGGTATTTACGCACGAGTTGTTGACATATCAGAAATCGATCGAGTGAGCACAGCAAACAAGTAATATTTCTGATACAAAAACAACGAGTGCGTAAATACCGTACAAAGCACTTTCCATGTGGTATAATAAATGTGTTTATTATATACATACTGAGACATTCATCATTTTGGTGGCCTTTTTGTTTTAAATCTTGCAAAAATACTGAAATTTGCCGCTACACTTACCGCAAAATGACAACGAAAACGAAGTGTCAGCTTTTTAGTAAAAACGTTTGTTAAAAACATAAATGACGGAAAGGATATGAGGTAATCTAAGAACTACAAGTAATCTTAACTGTTTGTTCTTAATGCACAATTGAAAATAAGTGAATTTAAGTAAAATGGCCGGTTTCAATATAAGCTTAAGCTTAAATGAAAGGCAAAGTAGGTCCGACAAAAGCACAACAAAAGCTTACGTCTCGTTCTGTTTTTCCCTTTCTGCTGTTGTCGCTGGCTCTCTACCGTTTTCGTTATCGACAGTGAAACAAACGAAACTATTCCACTCCATTTCCAAAATGTTTTTCACTTTTTTAGCGAGAAAAACTCTTTGAGTAAAACGTTTCTCGTTGAATGTGTGCGAAGCGGCGCTGCAAGCTGCAATAAAAGGCGGGAATTTTTCTCACTCGTGAAAAAACATTGTTTGCGATTCTGATTGGACGTATCATCTTTTTCACGTGTGAAAACCATTGTTCGCTCCTCTGATGGGTAGAACTAATTTGCGTACGAAAATTTACGACATAGCTTTTTGGTGAGTATTTCTCAGTATGTATATAATGAATACATGTAAGGTGCTGTGAAGACGCGAGGAACCGTTTTTATTTTTCAGATCTGTAATGTGGCAAAAGGTTTTAATTGTTTTCCCGGAGATGGTGAAGGAAGATGATGCTAATAAACATGCATGATTAAGGCAAATTTCTTTGACAGTGGGAGTGTGTTCCCACTGGAGATACCAGACTGCCAAAGCATTTGATAGGTCAAAACATAACGTGTTCGGGAAATGTTTGAATATTATAACTGAGTCTTGAATAAAACGTTATGAAAGCAAAGATGGCTATTCAGCAGAAAATGTACCGTGAAAATTCATGAGATGATGGTAACCAACGCTTAGAAGAATTATTTAAGCTTACATTTTTTGACAACTTTGCATAAACGGCTTGGGTGAAAGTGGTTTGGAACAGTAGCACGGCTGACAATTGTTTTGAATTGATAACTTGAGCTGTTCGAGTGGATGACAATTTATTTCGAGCTGGATAGCCCCAGCCTTTTGAACGGATGACAGTTTTTTTGAACGGAAAACCTGAGTTGTTTGAACGGATGGCATTTTTTTCTAGCGGATAGCCCGAGCTGTTTAAACTGATCATGATGGCAATTTTTTATTGAACAGATACCCTTGGTCATTCAAACGGATGACGTTTCTTTTTCAAACGGATAGCCAGAGCGGTTCAAACGGATGAGAATTTAAGCCTGTCCGTGCCATTTTATACATCTCTAGAGGTCATGTGTGCGCATGTCTGCTGTTTTCTATCTCTGTGTCAGCAATCAAAGCAATACTTGGAACATCAGCATTTTCTGCATGTGTGGGGTTGAGGTTCTTTCTGCAGACTTCACTAGCTCTGTTGCTAGCATTGCTCTTTAATAATGTCTAGGTTAACCCTGGTCCAGCTCTTAGCCCCACATCTTCAGCTCTAAACCAGGGGCTGTTTCAGGACTTTTTGAAATATAAGGTTGTAAGTATGAGAGTTCAAGGCAAACGTCCCAGGGCCAAGAAAATGGGGGAGGGGGAGGGTTAGGGTTAGGGTTATGTAGATTTTCTTCATTTTGCCTTCAGAGGAATTTGAGGCACTATTATTAAGGACTAAGAGTACAGTGTGAAAGAGCCTTCTTGCATGAGTCTTTACAAAGGATTGGCATATCGTCTGCCTCAAATCTCTCGCAGTAGTGTGTGGCAATCATTGCGAGATGAGAGAGTCGCTCCTCGGACATTGCTGACCTTGAAGAGGTCTTGATTTGTATCAATAGTGAAAACAATCACTCAGCTTCTGTTCTTGTGATCAGTAAGGTATAGGCAATGACCAGATGGCGATGGATGTTCATCGCCAGCAACAAGTGCTAGTAAAAGATTGTTTGGAAGCTCCCGATCTGTTGACTGCCAGAGTGTTTTCCATCTTCATACCTCATTTCCCAGGGATTTGGGAAATGGAATGTCTTTCTCCCAGAAACGTATGCCCTCTACTTCAGCCTCAGTGCATTACTTATTTGTGTAATCGATGGCACTAGTCAAAGCAAATGGCCAGCCTTGCGGTCTTCATCAAAAAAACCGATCTTGCATTTGGATGACTAAAGAGTCAAGAAGAGGAATAGCTACAGTCTTCTAATAATTGATTGGACTGTCACTGGGGATGTGTAATGCAACATAATGATCCTGTGATGCTCTTGGTGTAAGTCATCCAACAGGCAAAGATGATACTTTGCAGTTATAACCATGCAGAAACCTCACAACACACACCACACCGTCCTATATTAAATGCCACAGATGGAGTCAAAAGTACTAATTACACATCTTCAGTGAACTTTTATACCCAGTCTTGTACTGGTAAGCCACTAAAATTAAAGACCACCTTTCCATCCTTGTTGGGGCTTGGGGGTAAGCCAGTCTTCAGCCTAAAAATTATGACCAGTGGTTGATGATCCATGATGTTAAAATGGAAGTTTTTCACTCCAAACATGATAGATATAGCCTCTTATCCACTATTATTTTGGAAATGGTTACACTTACTAGCCATGAGAGCTTGAGAGCCAAAAGTAATTAGCTTTTCCTCACCATTCTCCTGAAATATGATGCATCACAGGCCATCTGAGGTGGATTCTTGAGGTTATAATGGACCATCAAGGGAGAATTTTGTAACCGCTTCCTGCTCTTTAAAAACACACTTTTACACCCCTCCATCCACTTCAAAGGTCAATCCTTTTGCAAAAGGTCATGGAGGTGACATGTCATGTAATCACCAGATTTGGCCAAAACTTGGCACTGACAATAGTTGAGAAGCCCCAGATATGACTTCAACTGTATGACTTTAGTAGCTAGGACTCTTGGCATCAATGCTCACATCATTTTCTGAGGTGGAGACAAATACCACTTTTACCAATCCAGTGTCCAAGAACATCTAGTCCTAACTGGAATAACGTGCACTTGGCAGGATTCAGAGTGATTCCATGTTCT